CGAGTACTAATAGAGCGGCTGAACGAGCAAACTCAATGGTGGAGCAGTACCTCAGATGCTATGTTAGGCCAATCTGCCTTTCGCTGAAGTAGCCAATAACAATACTGTGCACAGTAGCACTGGTCTTACACCGTTTAAGATAGTTGCCGGAAGTGATTTTGTGCCTATGCCTGAGTACCCCCAGGAGCCACCTGCCTCCCAAACTTTGGATCAGTGGGTGTCCTCCTTTCAAAGTGTTTGGGTGAATGTAAAAAAGCCTTAACCCAAGCCGCTAAAGTTTACAAGGAGCAGGCTGATAAGAAATTAAAACTTCCATGGCTTTTGGGGAAAGTCCACCCTGTGTTCCATTGCAGTTTGTTGAAATCTGTTTTTGAGTCCTCTTTAAGACCTATTCCAAAAAAACCGCCTGGTCCAATAGTGGTACAGGGGGAAACACATTAGGAGATAAAACAAAGTCTTGATTCTAGGTTGTACAAGGGGAGGTTACAATACTTCATTCAGTGGAAAGGCTATCCACTGTCAGAAGCTACATGGGTGAAATGTACAGATGTGAAAGCAGAATGGTTAATACAGAAATTTTGCATCAAACATCCTCACAAGTCTTGAGAATATACCTAATGTACTTTTTGTTTCCTCTACAAGAGATTCTTTCCTTTTAAAGGGGGGTGTGTGTGACTGTCAACTCTACAATGAGCCTGGCTGCAACCATCTTTCTCTTCATTCTAGGTTGCCACATAGAACAGAGGGAGAGGGGCTTGCCCAGGCTCTTCACTAGTTAAAATAATCTTCTGTCCCATGGGAACCAAGGTCATCTACTGCTCCCACGATCAGGGACTGGGCATTGTATAAGAAAGCCCACCAAGTTTTTTCGTATTTCTACGTGGTTATGCCTAATAGAAAGAGTTCGGGTTTTAACTCTACCACTAGCATTAAAATTTCTTCCAGCCATTTTTTAACCTTATTCCAAAAGTCACGGGCTCGTGGGCACTCCCACCACATATGGTAGTATGTCCCAATTGCCAGTTTACATTTTCAACATTTAGAGGAAGCATTTGAACCCACATTAGCTAATCTTATGGGTGGGAGATGCCATCTATAGAACATTTTGTAGAGATTTTCTTTATAGGAGGTGGCCAGAGTGAGCTTCCTGTTTCTTACCCATAGTTCTTGCCAGATGTGCAGATCAAAGTTGAGATCAAAATCCCTACTCCACTTTAACATGGTCTCTTTTACCTGTTCCTCACACATTGCCTGATCTAACAAATAATGATATAGTTTTTTAATCATTTTATCCTCCGTACCTAATAATATTTTATCCAGCCCTATCGGTTCTAATTTTATGCCTAAGTCTTTTTTATCTTTCCAATATCTCGCCTGTAATTGAAGGTATGCCCACCATTCTAATTCTATCCCTTCGTCTTGAAGAATTTTCCTGGGTTTCAATTTCCCTCTCATCTAGAACATTTTTATATGTTATAATCTTTCCTAGTTGGATAAACTTTGGATGTACATGCATTTCTAACGATGAGATCCAACTAGGGACTTGAGTATAATTTGGTTGCCCGGTACGCCAATTAGAGCTTGTCTGATATAATGCCTTTGAAAATATTTGTGTGACTTATATTTATGATCCCATAACATAGCGTGCCATCCTATTTGTAAGTCATGACCTTCCAGACATAATAATCTCCTGTTCTTTAGTAATATCCAATCCCTTACCCATAATAATACTATGGCCTGATAATATTTTTCCAGGTCAGGGAGGCCATATCCCCCCCCCTCCTTTGAATCCTGCAGTAATTTTAATTTAATCCTTGTTCTTTTTCCTCGCCAGATGAATTTGAGTATAATTTTTTTAAGGTTTTGAAAAAAATTCTTGTCCAATTTTATGGGTATACATTGGAACAAAAATAAATTTTTCGGTAACACATTCATTTTAATTATCATAATTCTGTCCATAAGGGAGAGCTGCAGGTTGGTCCAAATATCTAAATCCTTTTTAATCTGTTCAATTAACTTATCATAGTTATCTCTTTTGAGTGTAATGCATCTAGCAGTTAGTTATATCCCTAGATATCTTATTTTATTCGTGATTTGAATACCTATTCTGTCAACCAATTCATTTTTCTGTATTTTAGTCATATTTTTGACGAGCATTTTAGTTTTTTCTTTATTTATCTTCAGACCTGCTATTTCCCCATATTTACTCAGCATTTCCATCAATCTTATCCCTGACTGTAATGATTCTTCGATTATAAAAACTAAATTGCCTGCAAAGGCTTGTGTTTTAAACATTTCTTTCTTGATTTCTAGACCTTTAATCTGTTCATCTTGCTGAATTACTCTGATTAATACCTCAAGAGATAATATAAACAACAGTGGTGAAAATGGACAACCTTACCTCGTGCCTTTTTGAATTTGCAAACTGTCGGTCATTTCTCCATTAATTATTACTTTTGCTGCCTGTTTAGAATAAACTGATTTAAACATATTTAAAAAGTTTCCCCCAAAATCAATATACAATAATTGGTTGAACATAAAATCCCATTTCACATTGTCGAATGCTTTTTGTGCGTCAAGAAAAATTAAACCCATTTGCTTTTCGTTAATGCACTTCATAATACTCCAATATGTCCAAAACGATCCCAACATTATTTCTTATGTATCTTTTAGATAAAAAGCCATTTTGATCAGAATGTATAAAATCCGCTAAAAATCTTTCAAGTCTTTGCGCCATTATGGCCATGAAAATCTTATAATCTGAATTTAATAAGGAAATGGGTTTATAGTTCTTAATATGCGCCAGGTCTGAATTTTCCTTCGGAATCAAAGTGATGGCATAGTTTTGTCGGTGGGATATTATACTTTGTAAGGGAAAGTTTTAGTAAGGGAATTGCAGACTTGGTTTCACTTTGGATTGTGCCGATACTTTGTAACTAATAAACATGTTCTTTGGGGAATTTTCAAGCCTTGGAGTTCTGCTTTATTTGTCTCTGTCAGTCAGAGCCATGAGAGAGATGACAAATGCAGACTTCACCCACTATGGTTAGCCCCCCTCCCAAAAAAATCCTAAACAATAACAACAAAACCACTAGTATTTAGAAATTACATTGTCTGGAATCACACACTAAAGTAGAACCAAACAACTACCTCATGCTTTAGTGTGAAATGCAAATCAAATCACTATTTGCTTTTGTGATGCATATTAGACATTTCTTTTCAAGAACATGTTGTTGCTCTAACCTAAGCAAACATTCAAGAAAAAAAGCAGAATGAAATTGTATTGAATTCTTCCTGTTCTGTGGTGGACTGGGATTTATAAAGCCAAACAGAAATGGAAACATATGTGCCTTTTGCAGTTTATTTGTAATATGCCCACAATATGAAATCTGCATGGCTTAATTTCTGAGACAAGTATATTCTACTTTCAGATTTAGCCACAGATTCTCTTTCTATTAATAGTTAGCAGTGGCTTTTGGAACTACATTTGTAGCAAAAACTGCAGGAATTATATATGTGAAATTCTGAACATTTAGGAAAATTGTTAATTATAAATCTTAAGTGCAGGAATAAATAACACAATTGAACAATATTGGAACAGATCCTCTCACATTTTGTAGCTTTCTGACACAGGCATCAGAAGTGGAGAGAAACTTGGATTTGGCCATGCCATTGGGTAGGGCAGAGTCAACACTGTTGTCCTATTGACCTTAGGGATACAGGGATACATGGAACTCTTTTAGGGTTGGCCAATCTTTGACTTTTGTTATGTTTTTAAGAGGAAATCTTTGGAATTCTGCCAGCCAGGTGCCTGAAGCAGATTTTTTTTTTTAAATGATGTATAAAAAATGAGCACCAGTATATATCAGCTTAGTTGCCACAAGATGTCACCCTACCTTTACAGAATTTGGTATTTCACCAACACACTGTTGTGCAATGGGAAACTACTGGTAGCATGTTATCTAGATTATTGAATGGATATCTCTTATTTGAAATTATCAGAATTGAGTGAGCTTGGCACAGAATAGAGCCGGGAAGGGGGAGCAGGAGGAATTCAAACCACTGAAAAATCTTGCAGATGTTTCTCCCAAGAACTATTTTGAGGCAATAGGAAAGGCAGGCTGGTGCACATATTTTTACTTGGCAGGATGAAGACGTGATCACGAAAGCAAGAGATTGTTCTTTGAAAAAATGAGGCATCTCTAATCTATTAACAGTAACAAACAACTGCTACTTGTGAGAAATAGAGATGTTGACGGAAAAATGCAAGTATCACAGCCTTTTGGATATTTACCTTGAATGTTGGAAGTAGGCTCTACTAACTGAGGGTATACCAAAGCTGTGGATTTTGCTTGAGATTGATTGTACAACTACCTATTTAGCAGAATCTATCTCCTACAATGTGGGAAAATAGTGTCTTGTTTCTTTTGTTTTCATTACTCATTTCCGCTAATGAATATCAAATACAAATTCATATACAGGATGTTCCTAATTTTCACCATTTTAATCTGTCTTTTAATTGAATGATCATTTCATCTATCATAACATCAAAGAATGCAATGCAAATTTTGTCACATATGGGCTCAGATGCTGCCTTATCCGAGAAAGGGTATACTTTTTTCTCTGAGAAATTTTCACATGAGGAGAGTCCACAAATGTCTTGGGAATGCTTTCAGCAGCTTGAAAATTAGAATCTCTTGATCTCTGCACTGTCTCACATCTTCCAAGATACTGCTTTTCAGTAGTTCTTGTGCAATTTTCAATTTCCTAACTATGATTTGCATGACCTACCTATCCTTCCTTCCTTCCTTCCTTCCTTCCTTCCTTCCTCCCTGACACCATGTCACACTAGACTGCTGTGCTAAAAAACCACATGAATGGCTGAAACTTGGACACAAGAGTATAAGCCCTGTTACAAGTTCATTGTTGAGGTTAGGAATAGTCAACAGTTCTGTAACAGTTTAAACTTTTATTTGTGCAGAGAAAGACCGAGTCAAAACTGTTTTAAAGTTAAACTTTATTTTTTAATTCTTTATAGGAATATCAATAAAAGACCTCAAATGTATCTCTATCTGTACATATACAAGAACCTGTTCAAAAATATTCACAGAACAAAAATAAATCTTCTTTAGAACAAACCCAGACAATGAAATGCAGAAGTAGATTCTGGGGACCTGAGGAATCCAACACTATGGTCAGAAAAATACAGAACTGTGGTTTGGGGGGTGGGTGGGGGGTGGAGTCATAAAATTAAGATCCAGATAGAAATAAATTATTGAAAGCTAACACTGAAAATAAATGTCTGGTAAGATAATTTTCATTAAGGCCGTGAAGAAAGTGTATTGTTGTACTTACAAAATTCATAAAAGCTCTCACCAAGGTACCCTTCTTGCCCCATCTCTATAAATATCATTTTACCAACACCAAACTAAATGAGAAGGAGGCATTACAATCACAACCCAGATTATTACAAAGCTGCCCACAAGCTTGCATTTCTGAAATGGCAACATTTTCATGACTAGGAGACAGCCAAGTGGAACTCATTTCCCTAACCCAACTCTTTCTCATTTCAATGGCATAGACCTCTTCCCTTCGACCATCAATTATTCCAGAATAATTCGACTTCTTTCATAGGACTATGAAATTCAGCCATCCTGAGATTTGGTGTTTCTTTCAGTCTATCACCACCATGCACTGAATAGACCTGCTCGGGCTTCCCTGAAAAATATAGCTGGTTTTCCACATGAAGAGCAGAATCTCCAGATGTCAGTTTGGAGGAGGATGAACCAGTTCCAGGCATGTCTGGAGAGGAGTTGATCAGTGGCTATAAGTAGCCGTCTGAGAGGAATTTGGCTGAAGCACAGCTGCAGAAGGACAGCCCTGAGGCTTCAGGTGGGGATAGCACGCAGCTACAGCCAGTCAGTGATGAGGAAGAGGAACTGCCTTCTACACCTCATCCAAGAACACGTAGGGCAGAGAAAAGGCAGGAGCAGAGGTCAGCCAGATTACTTGTGAGGAGACAACCTTGCTCTGTTTGATAGGCTGCACCAGAAGCTGTCTGTTTAACACAGCAGACAGATGGAGGCAATGCTGGGAACAATGTGTTCATTTTCTAGCTTTGTGTTTTCTGGACTTTGTGATTCCTGCCTTGCTTTGGACTGACACTGCCTTGACTTGGATTGTGCCTTGTGACCTCTGGACTTTTCTTGCCTGGTGAACCCTCTTGTATTGTGCATTTAAATTCAGCTGGAATGAAATGAAAAAGTGTGTTTGCATAGTCTTTTGGCAGTGCCAAAACATTACAGTGAGAAAGGAATTAGAACTTCCAATTTTGCCCTGCGGGAGAAGAAAAGAACCCTGACTGAAAAAGAGAGTTAATTGCGTCCCCATGTAAGAAGGATGTCTACCATACCAAATAGGTACCCAGGTTAATATGGGAATGAAGAACCAAGAGGAAAGTATGGGCTGTGAGAAGGAATGGATAGGGCTCACTCTCCACAGCAAGATTTTAACAGGTGTCAGCACAATTACAAATGCAGGAGATGAAGAAAACAATACAATATAAGAAATGTGTACAGGTAATCCCCAAGTTATGAGCATTCGTTAGGGAATGTTTGAAGTTATGCGATAACCATCCCCTAGTGTTTATGAAAAAGTCCTGAAATTATGAATGTTGCCGCACCACGGCAGTCGTTCGCCCTTACAACTAATCACAGTGGCACTGCAACATTCACTTTGGCTATTCTCTCCTTCCCCCTTCCCGGGTCTCCCTAGGCACTAGGCCTATGGATACTCACCTTGCAAAGATCCTTCGCTATCTTGGCTGTTTCTCTGCTTCCTTCATTGCATTCGCAGAGAATGGAGGCCTAAAGTAATGCAAGATCACCCGGGATGAGTGGCGCAAGATCTCATGCTACTGATCTTGCATGATCTCATGGTAGTAGTTTAGGCCTCTGTTCTTTGCAACAGAGAACAGAACAGAAACCGGGGGAGAACGGACCTCTGGAGGCATGCAAAAGCCTCCCCTGATCTCTGTTCTGGGCCTTGGAGGCGGCCTCCAAGGCCCAGAATGGACCTCTGGAAGCACATGGCCGCCACTCACAGCCTCCACTTTGGGCCTCAAAAGCCTGGAAGAGGCCTCCAAGGACCAGAATGAGCCTCCAGAGCCCTGCTGAAGCATCCCCTGTCTTCCTTTCCAGGCGGTAGTAGCCCAGAAAAGCCTCTGACGCCCAGATCAGGCCTTTGGAGCCCTGCTGAATCATCCCCCAGCGTCATTTCCAGGTGTTGGAGACCTTTTCTGGGCTGCTGCCACCCGGAAATGATATGGGAGGCCGCTTCAGCAGGGCTCCCAAAGCCAAATCTAGATGTCAGAGGCCTTTTTGGGGCTGCTGCTGCCTGGAAAGGACACCGGGGGATGCTTCAGCGGGCCTCCGAAGGCCCATTCTTGGCCTAGGAGGCTCCTCCAGGCCTCAGAGGCCCAGAGCAGAGGAAGAAACAGAAGCTGGTGAGGAGACAGATCTTCACAAGGTAAGTGACTCGGCATGGCAGGATGGGGGGGAGCAATTGTGGGCCTCCAGGGGAGGGAACATGAGTTATTTCAGTGGGTCGGGGGAGGCCTTGGGTGGTCGGAAGCACCTCGTGTTCACTTAACAAGCCACGCATTTACCCACACATTAAATTAGTGAATGCATAGGCAAAACCTGGGAATGAATCACGTTCAAGGTAGGAGATTCACTCTTACGAATCCTCAAGTTACGAATGGAATGGGCAGACTTCATTACATTCATAACTCGAGGACTACCTGTATATAGTCATTCCTGACAGCTAGGAAATGCTAGGGAGATAATGGATGAGTTGCATGTTGCAGTTGTCTTGTCCCACCGGAATGAAATGTTTACGGTAAAGACTCTTGAATAGTATTCCTGTCTCACCTGCTATCAAACGTCAGTTTCATTGCTGAAATGGAAAGTAGGGGGACGTAATGCATTTCAGATGAAACTCCTTGCTCTTGGTCTGTGTAAACAGCTGACTAAAATTAATAACATCTAAATTTAAAAACAGTCTAAATTGCCCAAAAAAAAACCTTTACAGAAGGAATTAGGAAACAAACAAAAAATAAAACCTAAATAGCAGTGAACGGGTCAACAACATGTCTATCATTCCCCCAAATAACATATTTAACAAAGTGTTCAAAACTTAAGTTTAACATATTTTTAACCTTTTAAATATTTTTGTTACATTTTACACATTTGTTTTTTAAACTTTTGATTTTCAAACAATATCTGTTTTTCAGTTTTTTAACTTTTTTGATCCCTGATTATATTAAGCAGTCTTTTCTATGTTCATCTAGTCAGGCAACTATTGATGCCCTGTTCTGCCTTATGTACCCTGAAGCACATGAATGTTGCTGCCATGATTGAGATTTAGTTTAGAGAGGCAAGTTGAAAAACTAGCAAATTGAAATGTGGAAATGTGATTACCAGCTGCAATGTTGAAAGGAAGCCCAAGCAGGTCGTTAGTGCAGGTCATTATATGGTGGTGGCAAGCAGTCCAGTTTTCCCTGATTTTTTCTGCTTTTAAGCAGATAATTTTGGAGAACACCAAGGGTCAACCAGGCTTGGAGTGGGCAAGGGAAATTAAAGATGGCAATTCGTTTGATGGGACAACTTGAAGTTAGCAGCTGCTGTTCCTAAATTCTCCACTTTCTGTGATAGAAAGTCTGGGCGGATTAGTAGGAGAGACACTGCTCCGGGCCTGCATGTCATAGTGTTCCTTCACTTGAGTTAGGGCACTCATCAATCTTGTATTGGCTGAATCCAGGGAGAGGATCCTTTTCTCCTGCAGGAGCAACAGAAAACAAAACCAAAAGAGATCACATTTGTCTATGTTCACAGCAAGCAACAGAGTTTCACTGGATTTGAAACAGTGAAGGTAATATCCAATGTCTCATTACTTCTTCTAAGAGTTTCTCCTAGCCTATCAGCCAAATGCAACAGACTTGCCTCTTTCAGCTCTCCAGAATCTGTTCTATGGGAGTTGCCAATTGTACATTTACACATGGATCACACAAATACTGAGGCAGAACCCAGAAGACAACAGAAGTTTAGGATTGGCTCTTACACAAAGGAAAACAGGAAACAATAGTGAAAGGGCAGATTATTCCAGAGTCGGTGTATATACAACTGGGATCTCCAAAGACACTGACCTGAAGTCCGCTTGAGATAACTACACTGACAAATATGGCAATCAGATTCCAACAGTGTGAGGATGCAGAAGGAATATTAGCTCATTCCTTCAGGACAAACTGCTTCAGCTCAGTAATATTTGAGAAATTTTCAATATGACCTATTCTTTATTTCAGATCCTGTCATAACCATTCCCTGGGATTTTGCAGTACCTTAACGTTTTAATATCAGTAGGATCTACATGATGCTCAGACAGCAATAGCAAAGACATAGGAAATTTCAAAAATCTGAAAGGGAGCAAATACTTTTTGACAGAATATCAAAAGTTGTACATGGGAAGAATGTGAAGAAGAAGAACAAACAACAAAAAAGTATGAAAAACATGCAGAAATAATGAACAAATCACTTCTTGAAAGGGAAGATTTTAATCTCATTAGATCTACTGATAAAATTTAATACAAGGTCTCTGGGACTTAAGAGAGACACTACTGAGGGCAGTTTTTGTTCAGTTACAAAAAACACAGAAATCATAGGAAAGGTCTAATAACATAGTAACTATATACTATATATTTTTACCATATGATAAATCATGGAGCAATTTCTCCTAAGTAGGGCTGTCATTCAAAATCTGAGAGCTAAATTTTTGAGAAATGCTGCATGCTGCGTTTTAGTTTTACCCTGAGTTGTAAGTGGAAACTAGAGAAGTTTCATGCATAAAGTTATGACCAACGAAGGCATCCCAGACAAGTTTTGGATGGCCTACCATTATTAATAATCATGTGGCAGGTTTAACATCTGGCAAAATATAAGCAACCTATTATCTATTCCATATTGGGCTCATATGTATCACTACTTAGTTTATTTACAAGTCCAATATTCACATGATACCCCGAACAACAATCCAACCCTATTTAGCTGAGCATTCATGCACACCCAGAATGGAATAATCTATAACTTAGACTAAGAATAAGCATATATGGCCATTATATCTTGGCACAGTTCGAGAATATTCAATAATCTCAGTACTGGTTTGTCATAAAACCAGTGTCCTGTGAAGGAGTAAAGTGCTTGTTACCCATTTTCCCACTGTGGATATAGTCAGAAACAATGTGAAAAGTGGTTGTCAGTACTCGGGTTTGAAAAGGCTAACATCTAACAGGTGTAAATATATGGAATGTGTTTGTGAAAAGAGGCAACTATACAGTCATGAGAGCAAAGTGATACTATAATTAAAATTGCCTACAGTCAATTCATTTTTTATGAAGTCCAGTGCTTTGTCTGATTGGATCTCACTCCCCATCTCCCTAAAGCAATCAGTTCCTTCTCAGAAATAATTTTCCTATAATGTCATAAAATTGCCTCCAGAAGCTGTGAATGCTCCAACACTGGAAGTTTTTAAGAAGAGACTGGACAACCATTTGTCTGAAATGGTATAGGGTTTCCTGCCTGAGCAGAGGGTTGGACTAGATGACCTCCAAGTTCATTTCCATTATTATTATTATTAAAGTTGCAAAACATAAATTTATTAAGTTCTTTAGAATGAAATCCTTATGGATTATGAAATTCATAAACAAATTCAGAAGCAGCAGAAACTGGAATGCATAAGGGTAAGATTGGGGAAATATTAAGTGCACTAGGGCAGGCCAGAACAGTACTCTGCTAGAGATCTGATTAGACATACTTGCCCATTTGAATTATCTCATCCCCCTTTTAAGAAGTGTAATTTAACACAGAGATGATGTCAATTGCCATTACAAACGGATATAGCTCTCACAATACAGGTCTGTTAATTAAGGGGGGGGGGGGAAGGAGGAAGCAGTAGTGATATACAGGCTACCATACCTTCAACTGGCAAAAACAGACTGACAGAAAAAAAAGGATTTGCTGATGAGTGGATGGAAAAAGGGCATTCTAAGCACAGGGCGGGAAATCAGTCTCTGCAGTTCCTGATTCCACAAAGCTTCTCTGTGGGATAAAGCAAGGGCAGCAGAATTCTCACACAGCCAGTGTTTGAAGTTTTTGTTTTTTCTTCTCTTGTTGGAATAATCTATCACAAAGCCCTGAGCCAGATTCCATGCTGCTCTGAATGAATCAAACAGCTTGAAGATAACCCAGGTGGGCTTAGTTCTCAGCAACCATATAGAATATCATTCATAAATAACTAAAGAACAGAAATTGTGTTTCTATCAATTCAGTGAGCTGGGGAAATTTGCTTTCCATTTAGCCACTATCTTTATTCAATCTCCAGAAGTCCATATTGTAAATCCTGTGGCATTATTCCATACTTAAAATCAGCTTTTCAAACAAAATCTTCAGAAAATATTTCTTCTCTTGATAAAATTGGGCTAAAGATGAAAAAACCCTGCTTCTGAATAATTCACCAGGAGAACATTTATATTCATCATAGGACCCTAAGCAAACACTTACTTATAAACATGAGTTATAACCAAAGTAATATCAGTACATTTAAATGGATCGAATGCCATGGAGTGAGACAGTTTGGTATGGTAATTAAGGCATCAGACTAGAAACTGGGAGTCTATGAGTTCTAGTCCCACTTTAGGCACAAAGCTGGGTGACTTGGGACAGTCACTCTCTCTCATCCCTAAGAAGCAGGCAATGGCAAACTACTTCTGAAATTTTGCCAAGAATACTGCAGGGAGTTGTTCAGATAATCTTCAGGAGTCAACATTGACTTGAAGGAACAGTAATAACAACAACAAAGTCATGGAAAATTTACAAAAGCAGCTTAGAGCATTTTCTAGCTCTTTCATCTTGGTATATTTAAGAAAATGTGGCTAATGCTGACCCTAACATTGATCAGTGTTAAAGTACAAGATGATTCTATAGGCAAAGGATATTTTTCATGTATAGGTCTCATAATTATAGCATAAAGAAGAGATTAAAATTATTTTGTGTTTTAAGTCCTATTTTGTCCTGTTTTATTTTACAATAAGTGCAACTAAAAGCTATAATTCAAAGCATTGTGTATTGAACAGAATTCTGCAACCATGGCTTTGAGCACATGAAGCTTTTGAGTATTTGGATGAGACACTTCGATCTATTATGTTCTGAGCTAAGAAAAAAGTCATCCCTTTTCTCTTTCCTCTTGAACAACAAAAATGCTGCCTCTGAAAACAGGACTCGGAGCCTTGATTTCAGAATAAGGAACAATGAAAAGATAAGGAATGGCAAAGGAGTAGTAATTATATAGATAAGTAAAAAGATTGGTCCTTACCTGTGCCTCAATTATTTTCTGCTTAGCATCAATGGTTGCTTGCATTTCTGCATGGTCTTTCTTTAGTTCCTCTTCCACAGCCATTAATCTAAAAGAAAGGCAAGAGTTTGGATATCTGGAGCATCACAAAAGAAAACAAGACAAAACATTGGCTTAGTGAAGATGCTAAAGATGAAAAGATTGCCATCTTCTGTTTTATTCCTTGAACAGGCATTTCAATGAATAAGCTCCAAATTGTTTTGAGTGGGTGCTACAAGGAAATCGAGATGCCTATACCAGCCCAAATATCATCTTCTCCATGAATTGGGATTTCAGTTTTCAGAATTCACAGTTTGTATGTCTAAAACCTCTTGGCCTAAATTGCATCGCAGTGAAACTGAATATAAACTATATAGCCTTTGAACTCAGGTTGCCTATTCACATAATGCAGTCTAACAACATCAAATAATAGTATGAATTTGGACTATGAGCAACCTATGCTATATGCAAGGTAAAGATTTCCATTTAGCAAGCAACGGTCACATTTCACAAAGGATGCCACTGTCGGAAGTAGAGAGAACTTTCTCCCTTCAGCTCTTCCCTCCCTAACCTGCTGATGATGCTCTTCATCTGGCTATCCTTCTCCTCCTGCTGCTTTCGCAGCCGCTCCTTGCTGTCTTCCATCATTGATCTGTGCTCTAAAATGAGTTTCTGCATTTGTTGTTCCTGCACTAGGAGACGCTGCTCATACTCCTCCAACCGGCGACTTGATGCCTTCAGACGATCCTTGAGCTTGACAATCTCTTGCTGATACTGAAGACGGGAGGAAGGGGGGGTAAAAGTTTTCATTATTTAGTAATTCCTAAGCCAGTTTCCAGAGCTCAAGGCAGCATAAGAGAAATAATAAAAAGTCATTACTAGAAGCATCAACAAAAATAAACAAGTGAAGCCAGTAACATGAGAACAAAACAACCGAAAGCCCTAAATAAATTATTTAAAAATATTTTCATTTTAGAAGCATGTAACTTTTTTCATATATGGAACTGGTATTGCAAACAGCTGCTATACTGATACAGGAGTACTACCAGCTTTCTCTAAGCATGTTGGACTCTAGTTGTGAAGGACTTCATTAGCATGTGAAAGCACTGAACTGAATCTAGAAACATACTGGCAACCATGGCCAGTATGAAGAAATGTGTTTGGACAGCCTCACTCATTTTCACTAGACTGTGCAGCCTCTCTTCTTAGCTGGAGCTTCTGAGTTGACTTCCAAGGACAATAGACCAGGAAATCTTGAAGGATGTGACAACATGGATTAGTTTTCTAGTACCTTGGGTATCCAAGAAAGGTCCAGCAGGAAAAGCAAGAGAAGCAGCCACAAAGTATTCTGCTGTTAAAAGAGCTTGAATTAAAAATAATTCTCTGAATATAAACATTTTAAAAAGGAAACTGAATCCCAAAGAATAGGAAAATCAGCTCAATGGTTTTGAAAGTAGCCATCTTAAAGATTCCTGATTTATCTGAACACAACTTCTAGTACCCAATTATCTAGCCTAGCTTCCAGGCCCTGACAAAGGAAAAACAGCAATATCTAAATGTTTGATAATCGAACAACTTTATATTGATGATCTCTGCATGTTATATTTTCCAGTGACTTCTTGCAGATGTGGCTAGAAGGTAGAAGCTAGATAACTGTTACCTTTTCTGTATGATTGGCTTCATCTGGATTTTGCTCTGCCCCTTCCTCTACTTGTTCATACTGTCCGTTGTTTAAGACCCAAGCAGCTGTCCTTTCCACAGGTGACATAGTGGAAGAATCTACAGGTGACTGTACCTGCAGGTAGAACAAAAGAGAGCCTTCTTGTTCACTATCCAGAAGACAACCTGGTGCTGAAACTTTCTTTGACCATTGCTTGGGAGCAATTTCTCCATGTTATGTCAACCCTTCTGGTAACTTGAAAGTGAAAATATATATGGGGAGCATCAATCACATTTTCTTGAATATTAGTAAGAAAAGGGGCGTTGACTTACCTGAACGCCTTTTCTCAGCAGGATGATGTAGAGTCCAATGGATGGGTTCTATGACAGCCTTCCTGCCCGGCAGACTGGGTAAAAAACTTTGGCCACACCCCTTCCTCTGGGCGTGACCCCAGTTTTGACTTAGGCGAGAAACTTTGTTGGAATCAATATTGCAGCTCTTTATTACCTACCTGCCTAGACCTAACCCCTGGGTGGGCTTGGACTCTACATCATCCTGCTGAGAAAAGGCGTTCAGGTAAGTCAACACCCCTTCTCCAGCAGGATGGCTGTAGAGTCCAATGGATGGGACATACCAAAGCCCTCATGTCCCCCTGGGAGGGAAGTCTAGGCTACTGAATTCTGAGCAGATACGACTTGCTGTAGCACTCTTCTACCAAAGGCAGCATCTGATGCGGCCAGGGAGTCTAAACGGTAATGCCGGATGAAGACAGACGGTGAAGACCACGTCGCTGCCTTACAAATTTCTTCTACCGGCGCTTGTGTTAGCCACGCCGCCGAAGTGGCTGCGCTCCGTGTTGAGTGGGCAGTCACATGTGTGGGTGCTGGTAGTTCCTGCGAGACGTAGGCCTGGGCTATGCAGGCTCTGATCCACCTACCTATGGTGGAAGAAGACACCTTTCCCATAGATGATGGTTGAAAGGAAACAAATAATGCTTCTGTCTTGCGGAATGTCAACGTGCGTTTCACGTAGAAACACAGCGCTCTACGCACGTCCAGCTTGTGCCATCTATGCTCTAGCCTGTGTTTGGGTTTTGGGCAGAAATCGGGAAGAATCAATTCCTGAGATCTGTGAAAGATGCTGTTTACCTTCGGAATGAAGGCCGGGTCTGGCCTAAGGACGACCCTGTCCTTGAAGAAGGTACACAGATCCTTCCTTACTGATAGTGCCGCTAGTTCTGAAATTCTTCTTGCTGAAGTGATTGCCACGAGGAAGGCCACCTTCAGCGATAGGTGGTGAAGAGAACATGAATCAAGGGGCTCAAATGGTGCTGATGTCAAGGCTAGAAGGACTTTAGGCAGGTCCCAAGACGGGTACCTGTGAATGACGGGGGGCTTTGTGTTGGACGCCCCCTTTAAAAAGGCGCTAATCGCTGGATGTTGCGCTAGGGATGTCAAGTTGTCGCAAGAGAGAACAGTTGAGAGGGCCGATATCTGTCTGCGAATAGTGTTGACTGACAGGCCCTTGTTAAGACCCTCCAGGAGGTAATCTAGAATATTGGGGATGGATACTGTAGCTGGATCTAGGCGCACAGAAGCGCACCACCTACAAAAGCCTTTCCATGTAGCATCGTAAATCCTGTTCGTGGACGCTCGTCGTGAAGCTTGTATGATCAATATCACCCCTGCCGAGTAAGCTTGCTTGGCTAAACTTTGCCGCTCAAATGCCAAGCGGCTAGTTGTAGCCACTGGGGGTCTGGGTGCACAAACTTGCCCTGGCTGAGAGTTACTCTGTCCGGGGGAATCCTCCACGGGGGTGATATCGAAAGGTCCACGAGGTCGGCAAACCACGGGCGCCGTGGCCAATGCGGGGCAATGCAAACTATCTCTGCGCCTTCCCGGATCAGCTTGCGTATGGTCGCCGGTATTAAGGGCAACGGTGGGAAGGCGTACAGGAGATGCGCCGGCCACCGACACCTGAGAGCATCCGTTCCCTCCGACCCCGGAGACGGGAATCTGGAGAAGAACCTGGGGAGTTGTGTGTTCTTGTGGTTGGCAAATAGGTCCAGGTGCGGTTGCCCGAATCTCCGGGAGATCTCCTCGAACAGAGCCGGATCCAGGCGCCATTCCGCCTGATCCACCTTGGCTCTGCTCAGGCAGTCTGCCTGGGTGTTTGCCTCCCCCGAGATGTGTTCTGCCTTGATAGAACTCACGTTGGTTTCTGCCCACCGAGCCAGAGCTAACGCCTCCTTCATTAGTTCCGCTGATCGCGTTCCCCCTTCCTTGTTTACATGGGCCTTGGCTGCTACATTGTCCGTTAACACGAGGACGTGCCTCCCTGTTACTAGATGTGAGAAATGGCGTAGGGCCAGGTGAATGGCCCGGAGCTCTAGCCAATTGATGCTGTGTGAGAGGTCCTTCTGGTCCCACTGGCCCTGTGCTATCTGGGTTCCCAAGTGGGCTCCCCATCCGAACCGGCTCGCATCTGTCGTGAGCGTGACCCTGTTCGGCTCTTTGAATATGCTCCCCTTGAGTATCTTGGGAGATATCCACCATTTCAGAGATCTCATCACCTGTGCTGGTACCAAGACCTTCCTGTTGGAGGTGCTGAGATTCCTCCTCTGGTAGGGTAGGAGGAACCACTGCAACTCCCTCGAGTGGAGTCTTGCCCATGGTATAATGCCCATGCAAGATATCATCTTTCCCAGGAGTTTCGAGAGCTGTATCAAGGGCACTCTCCTGATTCTCTGAATTTGTTGAATTAGCTTGGATATGCTGATTCGTCGATCCTGGGAAAGGTATACCCTGCACTGTGACGAGTCTATTACTGCGCCTAGGTGTTGCAGTCTCCTTGAGGGAGTGAGATGACTTTTGGCCAAATTGACCGAGAATCCATGCCCCTGCAGGGCTCGGATTGTGGTCTTGAGATCTACCTTGCTTGTTCCTGAGATCTGGACTGGATCAAGATGTCGTCCAGATAGAACTGTACGCGAACCGGCATCAGTCTGAGATGGGCCGCTATTACAGCTAGAATCTTGGTAAATACCCTTGGCGCTGAGGATAGTCCGAAGGGTAGGGCCCTGTATTGGTAATGTCGGCCCGCGTAGGTGAATCTGAGGAATTTCCGGTAGCTGGGATGAATGGGGATGTGTAGGTACGCCTCTGTTAGGTCTATTGAGGATAGTAGATCCTCTTCCCTGACGCTGGCTAGGATGGATTTCAAAGAGTGCATCTTGAACCTCCTGTATTTTATGTAATAATTCAGGCCCTTCAGGTCCAGTATTGCTCTCCATCCTCCTGACGGCTTCGGGATAACGAAGAGGATGGAATAAAATCCTCTTCCTTCCTCTCCCCTTGGTACCCTCTCTATGGCTTGAATTGACAGGAGGTGAGCTATGGCCAAAGTTAGCAACCTTGCCTTGTGTACCTTTCTGGAGATGGGACATCTGATGAACCGGCTTGGTGGGGGAGAACAGAAGTCTAAGGTCAGTCCATGCCTGATCGTTTCCAAGACCCAGGAGTCGGTAGTGGTCTGCTCCCAGACCTCGATGAAATTTCCTAACCGACCCCCGAGGGAGTGTCCTGTTTGGCGTCACTTGGTGCGCTTAAAGGATCTGCCTCCCGATCCCCTATATGGGCGTCTGGATTGGAACTGGCCTCTGGCTCCTGTGTTTTGGCGATCCTGGGGTCGATCCTGTCTTGGATAGAAGGATCGCGAGCCTCTGGGCCAGTCCCAGGATTGCCCTGACCGAAAGGGCTGCCTCCATTCCCAGGGGCTTCCTGGGCGGGAGTCCTGTCTCCGGAAGTCTTGACTGCTTCTCCTATCAAACTTCTTTGATGGGTGTACTAATATTTTCCTCTTGTCTCTGCCTTCACTGACATGTGGGTCCAGTATGGACCCAAATAGGAATGCCCCGCTGTATTTGGACGTTGAGAGACGCCACTTGGACCTCAGGTCTGTCTTCCAATTTTTGAGCCATAGTAGCCTACGCGAGGCTACTGTGGCCGCAATGGATCTTGCCGCGTACTTCGTTGCGTACAGCGAAGCGTCAGCCGTGAATTGAGAGGCTGCGAGGAGCTTGGCCAATGTCTGGTGTACTCTGACCTGATCTGGAGGCACCGTGCTTTGCAGCTCCCTCAGCCACATAATGCAGGCCCTCGCGAAGAATGATGATAAGGTGGCTGCTTTGGCCGCCCAGGCTGCAGCCATGTGGGAGCGACGGAGGGAGTGTTCAAATTTCTTTTCTTCCGGTTTCAAGGCTTCCGCCATGTCTCCTGGAATCGCGGAGGTAGAAAATAATGAGATCAAGGGGTTATCTACCATAGGAACCTCTAACATGTTCGAGAATGAGGGAGAAAGGTTGAACAGCTTTCTTTCCACGCTATTGGGCGCCGGTGGGCTTGCCAGTGAGGACCATTGTTCCTCTACCGTGGTCATGAAGACCTCCGGACATGGAATGTACTTATCCTGTGAGACCTTCTTGGCAAATAGAGGATTGGCCTCCTTGCTTGTAGAGGGCATCTCCTCCTGTACTGAAGTTAGGCTGACTGTGGAGACTGCCTTTATCAGGAGTGATTTTAGGAGCGCAGGGTTAAAGAGGCCAGAGCTCGTCGCCTGCTCAGGTGCGGTCTCCTCATCCTCCGAAAGGGGCATGTCTGACATATCAAGGTCTAATGAGTCACCCTCTCCTATTTGAGAGGAAGTCTCAGAAATGTTGGTATGGGGCGGCCTGGGTCGTCCCTTATGGGGTGTGTGAAAGGCCACTTGTCCCTTAGAAGCCATGAACTGGGAAAAGGCATCCTGCATGAATGCCTGGAATTGTGCCGACCATATGTTCTCCTGCGCTTTGTCGCTGGAATGACACGCTGGAGTGTGGTCGGGTGAAGAAGTTGGTGAGGAGGGAGTGGAGGAATCTAACTGTTCAGTTTCCCCAGGAGGAGACCAAGTTTTGAGAACTTCCTGGGCAGTAGGTTCTGAGATGGGTGTCACCACTGGGACAGGGGAAACCATGCTTGTCCCAGTGGAATTGGTTCTCTGTGCCCTGCTAATTTGTCTTTCTAAAGCCAAATGTCTCCTTGAAGCCTCTCGCTCAGCCGTTTTAGATTGTCCCTTCTGAGTAAGATGCTTTGTTTTAG